CTCCTTACTTATCCTCATTTCTATGTCCTTCAACAGGTCAGAGAAGTCCTGATGGGGTCTTTGAAAGTATGTGACATTGCAGTGGATACCAGGATTTAGCTGGGAGAGGCCATGCCTGGCAGAGGAAGAACAGTAATAACATATCATTGCTGTGTAACAGCTATCATTCTAAGCCTTCTACATGTACAGAACTCACTTTACCTGCCCAACGTCCCTGTGTGGTAGGTACTGTTAGTTCTGCATCATTTTACAACTGAGGAGACTAGAAAACAAAGGTTTTAAGTAAGTGGCCCAATGTCACCCAGAAAGTATAACAACAAGACTTAAACTCTAGTGGTCTGGTTAGAGACTGAGCTCCAACACCTATCCTCTTCTAGAGACTGGAAACTTCTATGACAAGACTTCATTGCCTATCAATTTTCTTTTCTTCCTTGTAAGTTTTCTTCCACTGGATTGGTTCAGCTGCTGCTGATCATTCTTGGCCATGGAGAGTGGAGACAGCAGGGCTGTCTGTTATTCCTTCTCTCTATCCTCCTGAGACAGAATTTTCTCTCTCACTTTTCCCTCCCTCTCCCAGTCAGTCAACACTTTCTAACTTGGTCTGTATTCTACTTGTCCTTCTCAGTCTTGAGGCTCCTCTTATGTCTTCTTCCTTTTCCCTTAGAGCTGAGAATGAATGGGAGGGCTAGTGTGGCAGACGAGTCAGCCCACAAGGTCAGGGAGTCTCTGGGGGGTGAGCAGGTGCAGCCTTAGTGTTTGAATCCCCCATGTTTCTGGCTGCTGTGGGGATGGCTCTCTGACACTGCTACCCCCACTCTTGTTTTAGATCACTTTGTCTTTCATCACTCTTCTCTGCTACCAGTCTCCCCTCGTCACATCATTATCTACTATTCACTCCCCTTTTGCTGCAGTACCTGTTTTTCCCTGACTGGTTTTCCTTCTTCCATTGCATGCCTATATGTGGAATTTTTATTTTCTCAGTTTACTCTTTGTGTACCTTTCTGAAGGTATGTATGTCTGTGTTTCTTGCCTCCTTTTTTTTCTTTTCTTTTCAGTAGAGCCAGGAGAGGAACGGGAGCTCACTACGTACACCAGAATAGAACTCACTCTCTTTCAACATGATTTCAAGGCCTTTGCCTCTGTCTCCAGCTTCCACTCTAACACGATGCTGCAACCATAGGAAACTTAACTGTCTGCTTAAGTGCACGTTCCCTTTTACAGGTACTATTTCCTCTGCTGAGAAGACTTTTACTACCTCACTCCCAGTATTCAGTCAGCTCCTACTCATTCTTCCAGCCTCAGACAGCTTCCTCTAGAAGACCACCCCCCAACTGAGATTGTCTTTCTTGTGTGTGCTTCCACCCATATTTCCATTTGTAGGTGATGATCGTGTGTGCTGCATTTGCCTGTTATAGGTCTCCTCCATTAAATTGAACTCTTAGAAGGCAAAGACTTCCTTCCAGATTTACTTCCTTCCCATAGAATAAATATAGCATGCAGGACATTCCCCAACAACTGTTTTCACCCTTATGCGGTCCTTTGAAATGTTGATTCATTTCTGCCTATTGCGAGGGCTCTGCAATTCCAAGTGCTATCAGCTTCTTCTTCCAAGTCCCAAGAGATTTCTAGTACTTCTCTTGTCAACCTCTGTTTAAAAGTAAGAAGATAGCAATCATGGAAGGAGGTGAGACTGAGTCAAGGTTTCATGGGTCCCTTCTAATAACCATTTTGGTGCCTCCACACATAGACAGAAAACCAAAAACAAACAAACAAACAAAAATAAAACAAAGAATAACAAGTACTGGTAAGGTTGCAAAGAGAAGGAAGCACTTCACGCACTGCTGGTGGGAATGTAAACTAGTACGGCCACTGTGGAAAACTGTGTGGTGGTGGTTCCTTAAAAGTCTAAAAGTAGGGGACCAGCAGGTGGCATGGTGGTTAAGGTGCTGGACTTCCACATGGCTGTGTTTCAAGTACCGGACCTGGCGGCTTTCTCTCTCTCTTTCTAGCAAGCATATGAGCCCTGTAGTAAAATTTTAAAAAATAATAATAAATAAAATTAAGTCATTCCTTTTAAAAAATCTAAGAATACAACTACCATACAGCTAGTGATCTTCCTGTTAGGTATCTCCCCAAAGGACAGGACATCACTCTATTAGAAGATACTTGCACATTCCTGTTTATTGCAGCATTATTTACAATGGTTAACACGTGGAATTAATCTAAGTGCCAAATAACTGATGACCTGACAGAGAAAATTTGGCTCACATACACAATGAAATATTACTCAGCCAGAAAGAGCCATGATCTCTCATTTGATAGAAAATGGATGAACCTAGGGTCAGCAGCTGGTATAGTGGTTAAGGTGCTGGACTCCCACACAGCTGACCGCAGTTTGATTCTGGATCTGGGGCTTGCTTTCTCACTTTTCTTCTCTCTTTGTCTCTGTGGTAAGTGCATGTGTCCTATAGCAAATTTAAAAAATAAATAAATGAAATAAATAATTATATAAAAAAAAGAAAATGGATGAACCTAGAAGACATAATGTGGGACCAGCAGATGGCTTAATGATTGTGTAGCCAGACTCCCATGTAGTCGACCACAGTTCAAGTCCCAAACCCAGTGGCTTAAACTCATGTACACATGTGTGCCCAAAATCCTGAAAGGAGAATGGAGATGGGACTGTGGTGTATGTGTGTGTGTGTGTGGGGGGGTGATTTCTCTCTTTCTGTGTCTCTCTTCCTCTCTGGTGAGTGCATGAGCCCTATAGCAAAAATCTCTCTTTAAAAAAAAAAAAAAGACATAATGCTAAGTAAATAACTTAGGCTATTTAGTTCCCACTTAACTTGTACTGAGTATCCTTATCATTTAGCAGAAGCTAAAGGACTTGATTGCATAAAAATAGAATAATCATTGATGCTCGAAGTTGCATGGGAGGGTGGAGAGGGGTCAGGAAAAAATTAACACAAGAATGCATATAAACAAGTGAAATGTTGAAGATGATGAATGTGTGTATACATTCATTTATTATACATCATCTACATGCTATAAAACTCACGTTATACCCCAGAAAGATGTTCAAGTATACATAAAGCAGAATTTACAATAAGAAATCACTTATCGATAACTTATCTGTTCACCTTAATCCATTCTTTTCCTCCCCCTCTCAGTGCAAACAAAATTATTTGTTAAAATGGTTCTTTTGTGTGTGTGTGTGTGTAGACATATACACATTATCTAAAGGAGATTCAAATATTTCTACATAAATATGCCATTCCTAGCTGTGTATGGGATAGAAATGGGATGTGAGTCTCAGATGACAGACAGTACTCTGACCCTGGCTTTTCTAGCTTTGTCTATGAAATTTTGAGTTTGAGCTATGGGCTGGGTTCTCGGAAGGCCTAAACAGTTCCTAGCACCTTAAAATCTGAGTTGTGAGGTTTGTCTATTCTCCTAAAGCAGCTGTGGCCAAAGAAAAACTGTTTATCCACCATGGCCTGGCAGAAATGATAACACTCCACCTATGTTGAATTAGTATCTGAATGTCATCTAGCCAATTCATACTTCTTTCCATGATCCCAGCCCTAGAGCAAGAAACAAACTGGAGACATTTCCAAGTTTGTATTGCTCGCTTCACCACCAACCATGGCTTCCAGCAGGTCCCACTCCACCCTCATCTCTGCCCTGGGAGATGCAGCTTCTTAAAGCAGATCAGACACCAACTGTCCAGGCAGTCAGGGCTCTGTCCCATTTGCAATTCCCTGGCTGAGCTGTCGCGCGGACATTCCTGTGCTCCACGCCCTGTCACGCAGTTCTCTTGAGGAACTAATGCAACATCTGGTGACAGAAGAGCCCTCAGTACTCCTCCTCCCATCATTTTCTTAGTTTAGACATGAATCCTGTCACCTTGTTTAATTTTGAAACAACTGATTCTCAAGGAGATATTTTAAATCTCTTGTTGAATTGTATTCTTAAAATCAAGTTCTCCTGGGACCAGCAGTTGGTGTAATGACTGTGTCGCTGGACTCCCACATGGTCGACCGTGGTTCGCATCCTGGACCCGGTGGCTTGGACTCACGCCGGGCGCGTGTGCGTGCGTGCCCAAGATCCTGAGAGGAGAATGGAGGAGAAGGGATTGTGGCATGGCCATCCCCCCTGGGGGGGGGTGATTTAAAAAAAAAATCAAGTTCTCCTTGCTTGTTTAATACTTTTTCTTACTTTGTTTAGCTGCTGTATTGTATGGTATGAATTTTTGATACAAGCTTTTCAACCTAGCCTGATAGGACTACTTCTATTTCTGCCAATTCGTATACATGATTGCATCAGTCCATTTCTTTATTTTTCATTAATTTTTAAAAACTTCATTACACTTTAATCTAGTCATGGAATTTAACAAGCATTGGTATACAATCGGAATTTTTCCTTAATTTTTAAAGCGTTTTGTTTTAAGTATATTTCTTGTTAAACAATATTTTTAAAAGAACAATACAAAACCCAATTGCATTGTCTCTCTTAACAGATTCAGTCCATTCACATTTCATAAAGTAATATTTATGCTCTGCTTAATTCCTTTCATCTTGCTTCATGTTTATATTTGATTATATCTTTTTTCTTTTTCTTCTTTTTTAAAAAATAATTTTATTTATTATTAGTAGGAGTAGTATTCAGTTTGAGCAGAGAGAAACAGAGAGAGAGGGAGAGTGAGAAGGCAAGCCCCCAGGTCTGGGACTTGAACCACGGTCGGCCATATGGTAGTCCAGAAGCCCAACCACCATACCATCTGCCAGCCCCTCTTTTCCTTCTTTTCCACTTATTATTCTTCCTCTTGCTAATGTGGAAATTCTACTGTATTCTTCCATTATGCTCATAATTACCTCTTAGTTCCTGACACTTCAGATCAAATGCATATTTCTTTTTTTTTAATTTTGTAAGTTAAATCAATAGTTAAAATAGATTTGTTTTTAAACATGTAACAAAAGCATAGATCATGTGCTTTAGAGGGATGTTTACTGCATGGCTTGTCTCCTTGTTCATTGTCCGCAAGACTCTGAGAAGCTGTGGAAATATGCAGGAGCAGACAGAGGCCCAGTTCATCTCCACGTTGTGGGAAGGGAGTGTACATCATGGGGCAAAGCTCTCTGCTCCCTTAGCCACCTGGACAGAGCCCTGAGGAGTGTGACCTCCCAGGGATATCCACACTGGCAAGTGCACGTTTCTTTACCAGTAAATTTTTATTAGCAAACATTCTTTCTTCCCTCCTCTCCCCATAAATCCTACAGTTGTCACAGAGAGATAAACACTAGGCACACCTGGCTAGAGGACAAGGGAGCAAAGAGGCTTGAATAGAGAGAGGATTCCAGAAGTCCTTGTCCCCATCCAGAGGTTTGATTCAACAGTTCCCAATGACTGATACCACAAAAACCCACTCGTGAAGCTGGAAACACCTTGCTCAGACTTGATGTACTCGTTCTCAGAGCCCTTAGAACAGTTAGATGGGGACAGATTTGGGAGTAAGAGGAGGCTGCCGCAGGGTACAGGAAGGGCGTATTAGAAATAGAGAAGTGTGCTGAGAGAAGTCAGGGGATGACACTCGCCTGAGGTCCACTCTGCCTGGCGTGGGACTCAGCACGTACAGGGGCTCCCTGGCAGCAGAGCCTGTCTGGGCTGGGAAGGAGAGGGTCTGTGTCCTGGGCCCTCGGGGGAGAAAGCTCAAGGCAGACAGGGGAGGGTGCCCTTTGGGGTCACAGTGGGGAAGGAGTAAGGGGGTGCTGTATGTGTTGAGCACAGGGGTGAAGGAAGGGGCCCTGCTGAGGAGGCAGGGTTTCACAGGGAGGTCCTGGACAGCCTGGGCTTCAGACTGGGCCTCCTTGCTGTGAAGGAGGTGGGATTTTGCACTGACATACAAATCTCTTTGTGCGGCAGTTTTTGCTTAATTTGCTTTAGCTGCTGTATTGTTTGGTATGAACTTTTGACACAAGCTTTTCAACCTAGCCTGATAGCACTACTTTGACTTTGGCTTTCTTATATACGTATCTGCACTTGTGCACTTCTTTACTTTCAACCCTTTTAGGAGCATCTTGTTTTAAATGTATTTCTTGTTAAACAACATTTTTAAAAGAATACAAAACCAACTGCATAGTCTCTCTCTCTCTCTCTTTTTTTTTTTTTTTTTTTTTTGAGAGGTGCTTGCCTTAGGTTGCATGTGCTTAGACACTTGCTGGAGAGACAGAAAACAAGAAATCACCCCCAGGAGGGATGGCCATACCACAATCCCTTCTCCATTTTCCTCTCGGGATTTTGGACACACACATACATGTACTTGGCATGAATTTTAAGCACCTGAGTCCAGGACTCGATCGACTACATGGGAATCCAGTAACGTAACCATTATGTCATCTCCTGGTCTCTGCATAGTCTCTTTCAATAGGAAAATTCAGGGAGGCAGGGAAGTATCCTGGGGTCTTGTGCCTGAATCGCTTCTCCTCAGAGTGTAGAAGAGTGTGGAAGTAGCCAAGTCAGCCTTGGATTTGGAAAGGGAGAGCCTGTTTACCCTCCCTCCTCTGGGCTCTCCGCATTTAGAAGGTTGAATCTACATGGGACTCTCCATGCCCTCTGAGGGAAGATGGACTGACTTCAGCTTTCATCACACCCCTTCAGAGACCCAGAACTGGGACCCCAGTACACTTTAAAGCGCCCTGACGGTCAAGAGGCACCACCCTTCCTCAGGCCTATAAAGGGCCCTCTGGAAAGGAAAACATCTTAGCTGCACTCTCTCATACTCTCGTGCATACCAAGACTTGGAGACACAGCTGAGAATACCTAGGACAGGCTCCTAGGTTTGACACTGGCAGGAAAGTTGGAAGAGGACTCCTAACTCCCGTTAGTTGAGCATTGACCAGGGCAGGCACACCAATGAGGTCATCTTTCCAACAAGTCTCGTGCTCCTTTGTTTAGAGATGAAAAGTCAGAGGCTCCCAGTTTAGGTAGCTTGCTCAAGGTTACACACAGAATAGGTGGGAGAGTTCTGCCCTTTCTGATTTCAAAGCCCCAGTCTCAACCTCCGGACTCTCCTACATTGTTTAGAAAACTTCAGTAGCCTTAATTTGGAATCTGGCCTTATGCTTATCAGTAAATGGGGTAGCAGCCTAAGGAATGAACAGAAGGGAGGAGAGAACTGAATGGAATACAGGGGGGCCCCTCGGTGGCAGGGCAGTCTGCACCTGACTCACTTCTTTACCTGCTTTCCTTTCACACACACAAACACGAGTGTGCAAGGGTTGCTGCTGGCCCCTCACCTGGGAGGTACAATGAATCATTTAGTTTCCTCTGCCTTCCAAATCCCAGTCAGAACCCCCATTCACCTTTTCCACACTAGGCCCCTCGCTAGTCCCTGGTGCCCATGCCTCTTCCCTCTTCTGTGAGAACTGCCCGGTGTGGAAAGGCCCAGGTGTATTAGAGGAAGGTCCCCAAAAAGCCAACAGATAGCCCTGAATGAACTTATTAAAGGACTCGGTCTGTTCTTCCCTATTCTCACAATCTCTTCATATGTCTGGCCCTCTTAAAATTGGAAGTATCTGGGACCAGCAGATGGCATAGTGGTGACACTGCTGGACTTCCACATGGCTGGCTGTGGTTTGAGTCCCAGACCTGGTGGCTTGAAATTCATGCCAGGTGCTTGCGCATATTGTGCCCAAGACCCTGGGGAGGAGAATGGAGGAGAAGGATTGCAGGGTAGCCACCCCCCGCCACCAGCAGGGGAGAGGGGTGATTTCTCACTTTCTCACTGTCGTCTCTGTCTCACCCCCCTGCCCCCGGCAAAATTTCTTTTAAAAAAAAATTGGAAATATCTTTTAAAATCCATTTACACTGTAGAAAATACCAATAGTTAAAGGGAAAATGGAAAACATCAATCACAAACTGTCACCACTTGGGCATTTTTCTCTCTCCATCTATGCTGGTTAAGTTCAAGTGTAAAAACAAAGTTTAGTCCTCTGTGCGTGTGTGTGTGTGTGTGTGTGTGTGTGTGTAAAACTAGTAACATTTTTGTGGTATATGTTATGTTTGCTCTTCAAGCCATTAACATATTCAAAGAACTCAACCATACTAAATTTGTAGCTGTAATGTAAATAACTTAGGAGATAATTCAACCTCTTCAATGAATCAATGTTCAAAAACGCTTTTAAATATGGTATTTATAAACTGAGGACAAAACAGCACAAATAGTGGTGAGTCTCCCGCTCTCTGTAGAAAAGCCCTTCCTACTTAAAAGTTACACGGTGAATGATTTAGGCCTGGGAGAGGGCAGACAGCACAGAAAATGCCAGAAAAACCTACAAGCAGCCAGAAACCAGGGCGCGAGTCACAGCATTAAGAGGCCCCGTATGCTTCAGACTAGTTGGCCGCCCAGGGAGGTGGACCTTGGCTCTGCCAGAGCCTGCTCATCCCAGAGAGGGACAGGGGCAGCAGCAGGTGTGACAGGTGGGGTTCTGAATGGAGCGTGGAAGAAAACTGAAAGGTGGGACCACAGTTAGCGTAATGGCTATGTCGCTGGACTCCCATGTAGTTGACTGCGGTTCGCGTCCAGGCCCCGGTGGCTTAAACTCATGCTGGACACGTGTGCATGTGTGCCCAAGATCCCGAGAGGAGAATGGAGGAGAAGGGATTGCGGTGTGGCCATCGCCCCTGGGGGGTGATTTCTCGCTTTCTGTCTCTCTGTCTCTGTCTCTCTGGCGAGCGCACGTGCCCTATAGCAAAAACCTCTCCAAAAAGAAAGAAAGAAGAACTGAAAAGTGAGCTATGGGCTCCTCTGACCTAGAGGAGTTTGAGACTGTCCGGCCCATTCAGGTGACCAAAGATACTGGAAGGAGACGGGAAGGAGACAGAGAAAGGCTGGCGGACTGCCTGCCTCCCTGCATCTAGGAGTTAATCTCAGGGCACCCAATGCACCCAGTGTCTAGAACCCGTCAAAACCTGTGACTGCGCCAGGGAGGCAGGGCGAAGGCCACCCCAGGGAGCCTCCAGGCAGTTCCTAGCCCCCAGCGAGGGCAGTGGGAGGCTAGGCCGGCAGGGGGCGCCCAGCGCGCTCCGCTCCGCCGCGGGGTGGGGCGGGCAGCCGGCCCCTTGGTCCAGCTCCACTTGAGCCAGGAAACTCCTCGCCGCGGGCGCGAGCCACTAGCTGCCGTTGGAAAAAGCGTTGCCAACGTCCTTCCGTTAGCACCCCTGCTTCGCGCAGGCTGGGCGACCGCACTGCTGTCAGAAGGGCCCTGCAGACAGCAGGGGCTCCCACCCGCAGGATTGGAGGGCAGGAGATGCAAACGCCTGGGAAGGTGACCTGGGGCAGAACCATAGGTTCCTGTGGTGACAGTGGCCTTAGAAAAAACGTTCGAGTTCTCTGATGAGATGAAGTCAGAGTGCACAAGCCTCTTGAAAATGCGACTGGCCCATGCAGTAGCCTTTGGCGGGACCTCTGGAAAATTTCAAACTGTCTGGTGGGAAGAGGGCTCTCTAATGGACATTAAATTGGATGAAATTTAGTTATACGCACAAATACTGACCTCGAGCTGCCAACCGGGCAGATCTCTCTCGTTAGCTGAAGGCTGAGGATTTCTAGCTAGATGTTCTGACTACAGGAGTAGAAACTTCCTGCTCTCAGTGTGATCTCCTTGGGACATTAGAGGCATTCATTTCATGAAGCCTAGAACCGGCCTGGTCTCTATCAATAATTCACCAATTCCTGCCAAGACAGACAAGCTGAGGTGTTTCTGTCATCCCTATCGAAACCCTCTCATTCTGTCATCTCTTAGGATACAACCGTGTGTTTTCCCCATTCTCCTCACTAGACAGTAGGAATTCTCAAAATGACTTTCAAATCACTTTGATGTCACTGGAGAAGTCACTTAACAGTTAAGAGTGTTATTAGGCTCATGAGATTAAAAGAGTATCTCCCTCAAGGATTTCCCTCCCCAGGGAGCAAGTTCACTTTGCTCTGTAATTAGTGCTGGCATTCTGGCTCATAGGTTAAATGGGCTGTGTGAACTGCATGCAGGAATTTCGCTAGTCAGACAACATTGCTGGCGGTCCTAACTCAGCAACCTGAAAATGTTAGACCGGATCAGTGCTTGGACCCTCTGGAGTTGCTGGATGGACATCATGGGATTGGAGGGAAGATGTCTTTTTTGAGGCCAAAACTGGGAGTATGAGAT